AAACTCAATCCCAATCCCAAAATTACTTATGTATTATTGTGGAACACTCCAAGTACCACATCGGTAATACAAGGGAATGAATCCTTAGTATATAAATGTCTACCTAACTCAATTAGTACGAGGCCTTTTGGGGAGGATACCCAAGAGTAAAACCATGCGGTTTTGACCCAAAGCAGACAATATCGTACTAATTGAGCTACCCAGTTACGACAAGTGGTATCAAAGCCTGGTTCGGGTCCAGGGAGGTGGATGTCAATTTTATGGACCCTCATTCGGTGACCTCGAGAGTTGAGATCTGCGACTGGTTTGGTGGATCCACGAGAGATCCACGTTTAGGCTACATATGGGTTGGCAGATCAAGGGAGGTCCGCGTCTGTCTGGTGGATCTATGAGAGATCCATGTTTGTTTGGCGGATCAAAGAGAGTTTCGCGTTTGGAAAAAAATCCTTGTAGCGAGAAGCCCATCAATACAAGGTGTCTGGCGGATCGAAGTTCGTGGTTCTTGTCTTGAGGGGAGGATTGTTATGGGACAATCCAAGTAACATATCGGAAATACAAGGGAAGGAACCCTTGCATATAAGTTTCCACCTAGCCAAATTAGTACGAGGACTTTTGGGGAGGATACCTAAGAGTAAAATCATGCGGGATTGGCCCAAAGCGGACAATATCGTACTAATTGAGCTGCCAAGTTGCGGCAAGTCTCATGGATCCACCAAACCACACGCATATCTCTCCTTGATCTGTCAACGCGGATCTCTCTTGATCCGCCAAACATACTCAGATCACCTTTGACCCGCCAGACAAACGCAGATTTCAAATCCCGAGGTCACCAAATGAGGGTCCCACCAAACTGACATCCAACCCCTCGGATCCGCCGAACCAGACTCTGATACCACTTGTCGAAATGGGGGAGCTCAATTAGTACGATATTGTCTGCTTTGGGCCAAGCCCGCACGGTTTCACCTTTGGGTATCCTCCCCAAAAGGCCTCGTACTAATTGGGTTAGATGGACACTAATATACAAGGGTTCCTTCCCTTGTATTATCGATGTGGTACTTGGATTGTCCCACAACAATCCTCCCCTCAAGACAAGGACCACGAACTTCATGTCCTCTCCTCAGCAATTATCTTGATTCGCTAGACGCCTTGTATCGGTGGGCTTCTCGATACAAGGACTTTACCAGACACAAAACTCTCTTTGATCTGCTTTCCAAATGCGGAACTCTCTTTGATCCGCTCTTTGATTTGCCAAGCCCAAACGTGGATCTCTCCCAGACCCACCAAACAGACGCAGATCTCAAATCCCGACGTCCACCGCCCTGAACTGAACCAGTGTCTGATACCACTTGTCATAACCGGGCAGCTCAATTAGTACTATATTGTCCGCTTTGGGCTAAGCCCCCACAGTTTTACTTTTGAGTTTCCTCCACAAAAGATCTTGTACTAATTGGGCTACGTGGACACTAATGTACAAGGGTTCCTTCCCTTGTATTACCGATGTGGTAATTGGATTGTTCCACAACAATCCTCCCCTCACGACAAGGACCAAGAATTTCGTGTCCTCTCCTCAGCGATTATCTTGATCTGCCAGACACCTTGTATCGATGGGCTTCTCGGTACAAGAATTTTTTCAAACGCAGAACTCTCTATGATCTGCTTCCCAAATGCGGAACTCTCTTTGATCCGCCAAAGCCCAAACGTGAATCTCTCGTGGATCCACCAAACCAGACGCATATCTCAAATCCTGAGGTCACAAAATGAGGGTCCCACCAAACTGACTTTCATCGCCCTGGATCCGTCGAACCAGGCTCTGATACCACTTGTCGTGACCGAGGAGCTCAATTAGTACGATATTGTTCGCTTTGGGCCAAGCCCGCATGGATTTACTTTTGGGTATCCTCTCCAAAATACCTCGTACTAATTGGGCTAGGTGGAATCTTATATACAAGGGTTCCTTCATTTGTAATTCCGATGTGGTACTTGGATTGTACCATAACAGGTATCCCAATCCCTAAATATTTCAACATCCCAATAAGTATTATCGAATACGAAATTAATTACATTTGTAATTAATAATTAAATATATAAATTAGATTTGATTGTTTAATTTAGGGCAAAAAGACTAAGCAAAGAGTCTAGAGTTTGCCTAGAGCTAGGATATGGATAAGGAGAATGGATGAGAGGTGACATCTACAAATTCATGTCTTGTCATTGGTAATATTTAATTTGATGAATTGGAGGCTGAGAGACTACTAATACTAGTGTTTGTTTTTGTTTATGAAAATAACAAGAGATTAGGTGAGAGACGAGAGCGACTTAAACTGTAAAGTCAAAAATTGAAGTGGATGGGGGCTTCTAAGTTGTGAAAGAGTGAGGAATGACCAAATGTTGTGTGCTATATTTCATTAATTTTAAATTTTTGTTGTTTCTCGGTATTTTGGTATATACCGATCCCAATTCAGTAATCCCGAATACCGAATAGAAGTACTCTAAAATGAATCCCAATCCCAATCCCTAAAAATTAAGCGGATATTCGGTAATACTTAATAGTGATAAATTTGATACGGTATTCAGTATATCCCAAATACCGATACCAAACTTTCAGCCCTACCCATGAGGCCTCTTCATATAGACAACCTTCTTCAAGTCTCCATTTAAGGACAATTTGTTGACGTCAAACTGATAACGAGGCCAGTTCCTGAAGTGGCTATGCGTCGCTGAAGAAGATTCAGCCCCATGCATTTGATGGATTGGAAGCATTTTTCAGCACCCTTCAATAATGAATAATGTGTCCACCTCTCTGAGAGCACACAAAAATGCTTCTTCTTCTACAATGTTTTTCAAAGTGGCCAATTTCATGACAATAATTGCATTGCACATTGGCCACATTTACCTTCCACTAAAATAGGGATCGACCAGCCACATAGACGGAAGAATTCCCAGTTACAGCAGCTGCAACAACTCTAGAATTGGTGCCATAACCAACGTCCTGATCAATAGCCTTCCTTGTCGAGACAATTAAGGAAGCTTCGCCTTAACAGGGATGGATGTCAAGTTGAGCCTATGTTCACAGTCAGTTGTCATATGCTGGACCGAGGTAATCGACAATAACAAGCAAAGACAACGATCAACAAGAAAGTAAAGAACACATGGATTTACGTGGTTCATCAATACAATGTGTGTTGAGCCTTCCTTGTCGAGACAATTAAGGAAGCTTCGCCTTAACAGGGATGGATGTCAAGTTAAGCCTATGTTCACAGTCAGTTGTCATATGCCGGACCGAGGTAATCGACAATAACAAGCAAAGACAACGATCAACAAGAAAGTAAAGAACACATGGATTTACGTGGTTTATCAATACAATGTGTGTTGGTTAGTCCACGAGCACAGAGAGAGTCAGCTTCACTATACTTGAGACGATTTGATCTTTCGATACAGATTACAGAGGAGTATGAGAAGTATTTACAGTACTTCTCCATGGTCTAACCCTAACCCAATATGGTAAATAAAAAACAATTACAACCAGGCCTAAAACACGAATCCAAACAACATTGAGCCCAGACACCGTGGAGCGTTGCCCTTGGACACCACTCGCTGACCGGGGCGTTGGCCATGGACCCCATGACATCCAGTTGTTAGCCAAAATAGTCCAATTCAAGTCACATCAACACTATTTCTCAATTTCTCAACGAAAATAAGGGAAGAGATATAACTCAACAGTAGGGTATTATTGCTATCACATTGACGTTATGGAAGTCATCCGTTTGAGTCTGATTATCTCTAAACCCAATAAGAATTTTTCTTGTTTGACTCGCTCCCCCACACTTCAATCTGGACGGAATGATCACGTCTTAACGCCATCAGTACCATATATAACGAGATTGAACTACTAGACTTTAAATAAATAACTAATACCAAAGTCCAATCATAAGTAAAAAAGGGCTAATACCACTACAACACCCGAACTATCCGAAAAATGTCACTTGTGTCCTATTCTTTTTAATATTCCATTTATGTCCTTTCGTATGTTCTTTTTTGTCATTTGTGTCCTTCCGATTTTGTTGACCGTTAAAGATGACGATTGACCAAACGGAGGTCAAACTGTTGTTGACTTTTGCTGACGTGGCAAAGTATGTGACATCCACATAGGCGTCATGTCATTGCCACATCATTTTTTACTCAAAACTATAATAAAATTAAATTATGAAAATAAAAAGGCAAAATACACTTGTATAGCCAAAACTTAGACGGTTTGGTCAAATATAGCCACTTTTGGCGAAATACCAAAAATAGCAACTTCCGTCCAATTCTTTGACGGTATGAAATAACGTGCTGACTAGACTAACAGAAAAGTTGATGTGTCAATCTTTTAGTCCATAAAAATTATGAGGTGGAATTAACTGAAAAGATAAAAAATAAAAATTATTTTTCTTTAATTTCTTTCTTCCCTCTCGGTTCTTTCCCCTTCCTTTCCCCCAACAAGCGCTCATCTTCATCGCGTTCTCCCTCTCTCCCCACTGAAAATCTCCCTCGCCGCGACTACCCCTCCACGCCGATGCATCTTTCGTTGCTAGGCTTTAACTAGGGCGAGACTTTGACTAGGGAAGCAAAGAAAGCTCTGGGGCGAAATGAATTTAAGGTCGACACTTTTGAATCGAATTTTCACTCGTCAAAGATCAATTTTTGTTTTGATTTTGAAGCCTTCTCTTTCGACCACTGTCCCTCCTGCAAGATGCAGCTTTGATTCTTACTCGACGCCGCCGCTCGCGTTTCTTCCATCATCGACTGGGTTTGGGAGTTGCCGGAGCCGGAAAGGGTTTCAGAGAAAGGGGGATTTGGACGGTGATATGGGGGCGGTGGATATTCAAGGTAGCGGCGGATTTGGGAGCTGCAATTTGGGCGGCGGCGAATTTGGGTGTGGCTGTAATTTTCCTCCGCCGCTTGGCATCGTCGTCGTTTGTAGCACTACCCCAGATCGAGATCCACAAAAGAAATTGAGCATGGGCCAATTTGCTTCATTCTCACTTAATTGGGAAAAAAAGAGGACATGTGTGATGGAAGATGCGAGTCCCAGCGGTGGAAGAGGAGGTGGAGATGGGTTTTTGAGTGGTGTTGAATCAGGGGGGACTAGGGTGGTGGAGAGGAAGCAGCAGCCACTGCCGTTCCATAAATCGGGCGGAGGGCACTAGGAAGAATACGAATCGATTGCGAGAAAGCGTCGACTACTCTCACAGGAAGCGACAGATTGATTTGAGAACGAAGATGAAGGTTCTCGACGGGTTTTTTGGATTTTTGCCTCTGGATTTCTTGATTGTTGGGTTTAGGTTTATGGATTTCTGGACTGCTATTAAAGAGATGAAGATCACCTGCTACTCCGTACCCTCCGACATCATCAATTTCTTTCACTGGCAGTTAAACGAGTTTCATCTTAATACAGTGCCGGCGGTAGGTGAGTTGTGAGAGTTTTAGATGGAATTGGGGATGGCGGAGGTTGCAATGAAATTGGGAATCTTCTTTTCTTTTACGCAGTGACGAGTTTGTGAGAAAAACATATTTTGTTTTTTTAATTTATTTTAATTAAAAATTGACATGGCATCCACCTATCATCGAAGGCTGAGTTGCCGATGACGTGTCTAGTGAGTTGGCAGCACAGTAAGCATAATGTTAAAATAACTAACGGTATCACTGACGCTGTTAAAGTTTGTAACGGAAATGGCTATATTTGTCATGAAACTTTCAAAATTCTGGCTATAAGTGGTATTTCTCCAAATTTGGCTATTATTGTCACAAACGCGAAAGTTTTGGCTATACAAGTGTATTTTGCCAAATAAAAAATGATAACTTTTAAATTTAACAATATTACTAAACAATATTTTAAACATCCAAAATTGACAAAAACAAAAAAAAAAAAAAACAAAAAAGTTCATCTCCCTCACCCGATACTCCGACTCCTCCCACTCGGTTCATCCAACAAGGACCCCCACCGACTTCGACTGGTGCGATGACGGGGCCGCCGGTTGGGGAATTGATTCTCCTCTCCTTTCCAAGACCTGCCGCCTCCCCTCCCTCCATCTCTCGTCAATCATTATTCATCATAAAAAATGCCCCCCATATCTGAAGAGCCAGATTGAAATGGATTGTAGATATGGATTCTGGATTCGACTTCCGATTCTGAGCAGCCGCTGTCGTGTTGTAGCTTGAATCCGCAACCCCAAATTCACCTAAACTTCCTCTGTCATGCTCCAATCCGTCAACGCCTCACCTAACCACAACCGCAACCATTTTCCGCACCCCCAACTCCATCGTCTCTCTCGTTGAAGCGCTCGCTTCCGCCGCTGTCGTAATGAGTGGTGACCGCGGCACCAGATCGACACTGGAGAAGAGATGGAAGAGCACGACAATGGAGGGAAAGATTCCGTCATTGCTGAAACTGTGAGTTTGGGTACTGGTGGAAGAGGAAAAGGAATTGGAGATGGCCACCGGAATTCAATTTGGGGAGGAGAGGTGATGGTGGCAGGTGTACGTGGGCACCGGGCCGTGCCACCCACGGGCTTGCACGGCACGACACGATTAGAGCACGGCACGAGCACGGACACGAAATATATGGGCCAGCCCGACATGAGCACGAATTCTTTACGGGCCGTGCCGAGCTGAACTTCATGGGCACAGGCACGAGCACGGGCACGGCACGGTTTGTAAATGTGCCATGCCGGGCCAAATATTTTTAGAACCTTATTGAGTGTAAGGACGGACATAGCACAAAAAGAATATTAATTTGATAAAAAATAAATATAAAAAGAACAATATGTTCAAATATTGCAACATATAAGTAGCAAAAATAATTATTTATTGTTGTTAGAAGTGATAATAAAGATGAATACGTAATTACTACCATAACAAAAAACGAACGAAAAATTAAACAAAGTAACTTCACACTCGTCATACCTCCAATTTTCTTTTCCCCTTTGTTGTTACATTTCTCAAACATTCTCGGTTAATACTTTCATTCTCCATCCAATTTTCTCCTTCCTTTTCATTCCTTCTTTTAATTTCTTCATTTTCGTTAACACAAATATGAGCACGGCACGAGCACGAATAGGCACGACACGATTCAAGTCATGCCCGGAGCTGGGCCGGGCCTAGCAAAAGTATAGGGCTGCAAACGAGCCGAGTCGAGTCGAGTTTTTGCTTAGCTTGAGCTCGGCTCGTTTATAAATTTTTTAGCTCGAGCTCGGCTCGAACTCGAATTTTAATCATCCAACTCGAGCTCGAGCTCGACTCGATTAAAAATAATCCAGCTCGAGCTCGGCTCGATAGAGCTCGGTAAATGCTCATTAACACAACTTGTCAAGTTGAGTACAAGCTCGGCTCAAGATAAGCTCGATTTGAAACCATTCTTGCTGAAAAATGTGTACAAATAAGAACATTAGAAATTAAAAATGATAAAAAGAACACCAGAAACTAAAAATAATATCTAACTTCCATACACATCCTTATTAACAAGATAATTTTCATGTTCAGAAGAGTAATTAATGCTTCCACAAGCTTTAAACAAGCCAGCTCGTGAGCTTAAACTCAACAAGCCACCGAGTCAAGCTAGCTCACGAGCTTATCAAGCCGAGCATGGCCTAGCTCAAGCTTGGCTCGTTTACTAACGAGTCGGCATGCGAGCTGGCTTGTTAAACAACGAGTCAAGTGTCGAGCGAGTTTTTTTCGATTCGACGCCGAGTTGCTCGCGAGCGGCTTCGCTCATTTGCAACCCTAAAAAGTAACAAATGGGCTCGCATGGCACGACACGAAAACTGACGGTCCGTGCCAAGTAAGACACGAAATAAATGGGCCTGAAGCGTGCTCGTGCCGTGGCAGGGGATGTCACGAGGCGGAGATGGGGTGGGTGGGTGGAGTTATTTTTTTTAGTTATCTTTTTGTGGTAAAAAATTAGATTAAAAAAATTCCACGTCAGATGCTGACTGGATTTTCTGTTAAGTACTAACGGTCAACATCGGTCAATACTAACGGAAAAATAGTTTAGGACACAAATGAATTATTTGATACAATAGGACACAAGTGACATTTTTCGGATAGTTCGGGTGTTATAGTGGTATTAGCTCAAAAAAAAAGTCCAATCATCAAACACATATATTCTCCTCATACGATAATAGTAAGACCTCGCTTTTTCGCAAGTCGCAGGTTGATATGTAATGTGAGGTGTGTTTTTAGTGGAGGAATTTTACTATGCTATATAGCATTGGTGCTATAGGTTTTTCCCTTTATGGTATAACTTGAAGTTATACCTTTAACGTTATGGTACAATTTTAGATTGTACATATACTCTTTTGTACAAATTCTTTCATGGTACAACTTGAACTTGTACATTTATGTGATGCTACAACTTTAAATTGTAAAGTTGTACCATAACATAAGGGTACAAATTCCTTTATGATACAACCTAAACTTATACATTTAACGTTATGGTACAAATTCAAGTTGTACATTAAAGCACACATACTTTAGAGCATAGTAAAATTGCTCTTTTTAGTGACCAGGTCGAAAGTAGCTCCCATTTCCACATAGGAGTTTCAGTTTTTGACCAATAGACTCGAGAGGAATAGAGACAAACGTCGACGGCTGAAAATTCAAATCAACGAGTGAGTGTGCCCGGGAGCCGTCTCGGGCGCGGGTCTTGGAGTTTTGGAGTCTAGCATTCTTAACAACGAGTCGTCGCTAAAAGTGAGACCTGACTGACTCTGACTACATAGTATAGTAGTCCTTCTGATATATAAAACAGCGGCTTGGAATGCCCTTCCAGATGGGGTTCTACTTCTACATGCGGGGCCTAACGCGGCTTTGACTATAGTGGAATTGTTTCAATACCAGACAGGCAATGTGCTTTCATGTACAAAGACAAAAATATATAAAAAAAAAAAATAAAAAAAAAAAAAAAAAAAAAACAGGATAGCTACTACAGTTCAACTGAACATAAAGATATGACTAGGTTTTATGGATTCCATGCTACCGCGGGTAGACTTGTATGTCCTTAGAGTCACATAGACAGACAACATCAACCCGGAGGAGGATGACAAGTATCAACTCGCTCTTTGTTTATCATACTCGACGAAGGAATGAAGTAGTTAGATTGAAAGGAGAGGTTTAGAATATTATACCTGAACAAAGTGAGAGGTTATGCAATCTAGTCGATTGAAATGAGAGGTTAGAATATGCCCGACTTAAAGGGGATGGGGAATAGGCGTGAGACCGAGTCCCATACAGACAACAACCACTCATATGGCAGGAGGAGAGGAAAAGGATCAACCCACTCTCTGCCGACAGAGAGCGGATATACATACTTTGGAGTGTAACGTTTTGAATATCCTAGGACAATCGAGCGGTCATTTGGGTGCACAGATATAAGTAAGTTTTTAATGCAGACTCGAGAATATAAACTATCAATGTCAATAACTCGAGTGGTTTAGTTTGCAAGAAAACCTACTAATTCGATGCTAAGGGCGGGAGTGCCTTGTTACGAAGTTTTTTCGTACTTTTTAATTTTTCATGTTATGGTTAGATCAAGGGTTTCACGTTAGGGATTTCTTTTTACCCATTTTGTATTGGATTTTATCCAATATTTTTACTTTTCATAATTAACTCACTTTCTTCGGGTTGAAACCACATTATTGGTGTGGAATTTTCGGTGAAGTCCGACTATATCTCTTGGCAGATTTTAATATCTTTGGTTAGAGATTTTTCGCACCTTGTGGTGCCTTTGTAGCTGGTTTTGTACAGGAAAATTTAGTATTGTGAAGTTATGATAGAGCATCTCCTCAACCTGTGATGGAAAGCAAGTCTAGTTAAATGATTTATTCAATTGTGACAAAGAATCTTCAAGGATGTGCAACTGACTCGGTCGACTTCTCAGGTGATGGAACTATTCCATTTGACTTACGTAATTATATTACAGTATTATCGATGATCATATCAAATTACTTGTCTTTAGTGAAGCTATGTGATTGTATCTTACCCTTAATGTATTGATTGTTACATATTTCGGGGTTTCTCAACTGATCAATATGGATCCTACATCGAGGAAGCATTCTTTTCCCAGTTGCATGAGCCACTTACAGGGAAGTTTCTTTTTTCTCTCTTCCTGCCCCTCGTGTCAGTTTCGTGTCTTTTCGCTCCTTGGAGTTTTCTCAGAGCTGCCCACCTAGTGGTATAATAGGCTCTTTCATCGGAAATCCGGTTGCATACGGATTACCGTTCTTTATTATTATATGTTTTGTATTTTGTTGTCCGACCATGTCTTGGTGCTTATCTTGGATAAAAAAAAGGGTCTCACGTTAGGTACAGAATTGTTAATAATGGTCGAACAAAGTACATTACTACATAGTCAAAGAACTTTAAAAGCCCAAAGGTAATTGGTTATCCATCCTGACATTTTCTTCTATAGTTAGGTAGAACCTTTCAATTCAAAACATTACCATAAGTTAATAATTAATTATGTAAATATTAGTCAAGGAAATCAAATCACCAACAAATGATGATGAATGTTGATGCAATACCATTAACGTCATATATGAGATATGTACACTCATAAATTATTAAAAAAACACATTTATTAAGAAGAAAGTGTGAGTTCATAAGAAGGATATAAAGAGGAAATTGTAGGTGACCTTATCATTGGATTGGTTGACACAAAACATTATTCATTATCTATTTTCTCATACGCGTGATGTGTCATCTCTAATCTCTTCAAATAAAAGTCAACTTTTATAAATTTGAAGTTTGTACTATATATCGTTTGTGATTGACTGATTGTTACCAATGCTGACCATAAACTCCAAAGAACCAAAAAAAATTCCTTAAAAAAAAATCAAAACCAAAACGAAAAAGCAACAAACAGTGACACTATATATATATATACTTCTCATATTTAATTTAGAGTGTATGGTCCAATCTATATATCCTAATTATATATTCAAAGGAAACTAGGCCCCAAGAATCAACCAGACTTAATCAAACATCACTAAACAACACAATTTGGTAGCTAGAATAGTTAAGTAGTGCTTAAATCAAACATTAACATTCAGTTCCATATCCAAGATCCTCAATCATTATTCATGTTCATCATTTACAAACATACTTGCTCAATCACACGGTATGTACGCTGCTTGACTACTCTCGGTATGTACGTCGTCCGTTGAGTTTTACTATTTAGTGCACGAATAAAACAAGAGTTTGGAACATGATATTATACCCTAAATTCTAATGGGTGAACTCCAGTTCCTAATTCTCTAACTCAAACCACAAAATTCATTTTATCTAAAAAACAATAACCGACGGTTTTGATTCAACAAAATATATTGAAGTACAAAAACCAAACGTGCACACAGGTGTACAGCATACGCCACGCTGCCTTTGCCATACATATACCGATTAATTCTTATATATATTGGTAGTCGTATAACTGTATATGTGTGCGTATTTAGTAAGGGTGATGGTACGGGCAATTATGTGGATGACCATACACATAATTATAATAGCAATTATAATTAGCACCGTCTCTCCAACCAATCGCCGGCACATTATTTGTCGTCGCTAAAGCTCCACTTCCGTCGCGAGAAGGTTCGTTCTTCTTGTCAGGTTTAACATCGGCGACGCTCAAGACGTCGGCAAACCCCACTTTTTTCCTCAACAAGCACGCCAGCGTCACAGCGTCGATCCCTTCGCCGGTCACTGCTATCTCGTTCTTCTCTTCCATTATAGTCACCGACTCAACCCCTGTGAGTATTTTGTGTACGCAATATTAGATAGTATATATATGACATAACATCAAGATAGACAAATTTCATCATTAAGCTTGTTTTGTATGCAAGAGTGAGAAAAATTAGGGCTAGCTAGGTAGCTAATTACTTGCAACAGAAACTGCGATCGTCAAGGCTCTGGTACGGCACTTGGGGTTTTTGTTCATGTTGGGAACCCTAACGACCACCTTTCTCTGCAGAACAAAGTAGAGTATATGTAGAGATATAAACAGATCGATCGAGAGCAACAAAATTAGAGCGTAATTAGATCGAATTGCATACCGTCATGATAAGGGTGCGAAACTACGTGTGTGTGTATGTTGTTGTAAGCAAAGAAGGAGCTCGATTTCAAGGTGAGGAGGTATGGGTATATATATATAAAATCGTTCATTTGTTTGGTTGTGTGGAAAATGCATGGCTGTACATTTTCCAAGCAATTGTAATGAATCTCCGAGGAATGGTCGTTTGGGCGTAGACAGTACGTAGTAGCGGGCCCATAGTCATCACACGCCAAAGCCAGGACGGGAACTTGTTTTGATGGTGAAGATGAAGAGAAACAACCCGTCAATTTCTTACAATTGGGAATCAAATAGTTACATCGTCTTTATTTTATTACAACTTTTTATTATTATTACAGTTACATCGTCTTTATTACAACCATTAGTTGTACTTAAAACAGTTTTAAAGAAGAAGTATACGGTACAAAAACAAATATAAAATATAATTACAATATTCTACCACAATAAAGCCTAAAACTACACCGTTTTAGTTCCATCACCACCCACCACAACCTCAAGCATGGATGTGCTGATGTTTCATAGTTCGAAATTGAGATATTGAAACTGAGTAAGAGGCAGTGGCTTGGTGAATGTTTCAGCCAATTGATTGGTGATGTCAGATATGCATCACTTTGATCACACTTAGTTGTTCACCTCTGAAAATTAAAAATTAAGGGTGATGTCTATTTTTCATTCAAACCTTTTTTAGATTCTTTTATATTATACAAATTTATTAATATGCTATTAATTAGTCAAATCTTTCGTAATGCATCAAAAATATTAGTCATTTTTAAGTTATTGTTAATAATTTTGTACCTCTTTTCTTAGTTAAAATGCGACAATTTTGGAATGTTGACCTTCATGTGTCTCTTACAAGTCAGCATCATGTTTGCCAAGTCAATATTACTAACAAAATTGCTAACTGAAAGTTAACATTTGGTTAATTCTTAGTATTTCGATAAGTTTTATTAATAAAAAAGAATCCGAAAAATGTTTGGATAATAAATAGACTTTACCCAAAAATTAATTTCATACCACATCGATTAAATACAACAGAGTTAATAACTTTATAAAGCTAGTTCAAGGACCTTATTGAATTGGGTTTTGGGTCTAAGTGGCTAAACTCCCTCTTCCTGACATAGGGGGCCGACCGGCTCTATACCCTCAAAAATTAAGTATGAAAACTAAACAAGCTTGGTAGCCAGGCAACGGTACCAAGTCGGGAGTCAACCCGATGAGGAGATGACAGGGTGGCCAGCTGAGGTGACCACCCGACTAGGTACCAAGATATCATGAACAATCCATATTCTCAAGATTGTGTATAAAATCTTGGGGGGTAGGGGTTGGTCGGCTAGGATGATGTCGAGCTAAGAGAGTGTCAATTTGATGAGGACTTGGTGTACAACCCCTTAGGGGGGCCATATGGAGAAAAAGTCTCAAGACGCATTTGGTGTCCCCCTAACGGGGTACCATGCCGGCATGACCTACTTAGTACTATGTTGACAAGTTGGTACCATGAGGAGCCTCTCAAGACTAAGTGTGAAGTCTTAGTGGGTAAATGAGCTAAGTTTTCATCCCATCATGACATGATCACAGAAAGGTGACAAAATGAAGGGTGGTACCAAGATGAGAGCAACATAGAAATCAGGGTTGTCAAGGAGTCTTAGTGGTAAGAAGCAACACGATGGAGGCAAGGCAAGGAGACTCCAACCCCATCTAGTCAGGACGAGGCGACAAGATGGAGCTCAACACAACACTCATCAATACCGATGCCAAACCACCTAGATAGCAATTATAAATCAGTCACCAAGGTGGCAATGACGACCCCCATACAGTTTGGAGCAACAGGCCGCTAGCTGTTACCAAGGAAGTTACACTCGGTAGCTATAAATAAGAGAAACAAAGACGGAAAAAGGGTTTCATAACCATACATTTGACACCACTCACACCAATCATCTATGCTACACAAAATAGACAAACATCTTTAGGCGGTTTCATTCAATCAAGCAAAGGAAAGGAAAGCAAGGAAATGTAAAGTTGTTGATGATTTTTTTAAGTTATAGATACATAAAAGTACATATATGTTATTTTATAAAAAGTTAAATCTCGAGTAACATGATACTATACCCTAAAACTTAATGAATGAACTCTAGACCCTAGTTATCCAAATCGTAAATCCTAAACCCTAATATAGTGTATGTAGTTTGTTAGATGTATTACGATGGATCATAAGCGACTATTATTGTTCCTAATTAAATTTGTCATACTCTATAAGATTTCTACAAATAAGATCTAGATTTTAATTTTTAAGGGTTAGAGTATAGTACCATGTCGCAAAATCCAGTCAATTCAATATATAATTTTCATACTTGGTGTATGAGGTACAATAGAATCATTTAGTGTTGATGATTTATCACTTACTTACATGTGACGCTAAAACCGACATGGACTGGGATAAACCATTATACCATCGGTCGGACCATACCAGATACCACTTGCCAAATCAACATAACGATATAAATCGGTTTGACAACCTTGGCGGTTTCACATTATTCTGATTTGCTTCATGATACTTGTAATCATCTTTACGGGTTTTCTGGTATGCTTATGGAAACTTGGGGAAAAAATCCAAAAGTACCACGGTTAAAAAAAAATTCCAAAAATACCACCCAACCCCAAAAAATTCCAAAAATACCACTTTTTGCAAAAACCGCCACCCCACCCTGCGATTTACACGAAAACCGTTGGGCGGGGGCTCGGTTTTCTATGCAAACTGCTGGGCTAAGGGGCGGTTATAAAAACCGCTAGGTGGGGCGGTGGTTTTGGGCCAAACCGCCACCCCACCCAGCGGTTTTGGGCCAAACCGCGAGTGCAAAGTTACGTTCGTTTGAAGTTTCGGCCAAAGTTAGGAGTTGATCGGAAAATTTTTTTTTGGACCAAACCGCTGGGTGGGGTGGCGGTTTGGCCCAAAACCACCGCCCCACCTAGCGGTTTTTATAGGTTTTTATAACCGCCCCTTAGCCCAGCGGGTTTCGAGTAAACCGCAGGGCGGGGTGGCGGTTTTTGAAAAAGGGTGGTATTTTTGAAATTTTTTTGGGTTTGGTGGCATTTTTGGAATTCTTTTTTAAACAGTGGTATTTCTGGAAAAAGTCCGGAAACTTGTGGTCAGATTTGAGTTTTCTAGTATACTTTATGAGTTTTATGGTGTGGTGAACTTCTGGCCTTCTTTATGAGCTTTCTTATTTATCTTATGTATTTTGTGGTATGGTTTGTCATGTTTATGATTATTGTTTGAGCCTAACTGGGTGTAGGAGTGAGACTCGGAAAGATGGGTCAAGGAGAGCGAGCAAAGGGAGAATAACCGTTGATGGAAGAACTGGGGAGAAGATGATTAGAATTGAGAGAGAAAGTCTTTAGAGAGAGAATTTCATAATTCTAGAGATAGAGCCTTGAAAATCCGATCCCCTCACCCACCGGAGTAAATGCCATATTTATAGGCTACATGGTGGTGGGTGAGTGGTTGGGTTACATGTGGGTACAATGACATGACCACTGACATGTCAGGGATTTAGGCCATGCTTTTAGGACCCTGCTTTTAGGACCCTGATGTGACTACTCCTGACTTAGCCAGGACTATACCTAGGACTATGATGGTGACTACCCGTTGGATGACGCGGCACCGCTTCTACGACTTCTCGACAAGGGTCCACGTCTGTCCAAAGCATTGTCGTTTAGTGTTTGTGCGCGGCCTCCGGGGGTGGTCTTTACCCGCGCGCTTGACTCCGGCGTGACTCGCGCGCTTGACTTTGGCGTGAGCATCCTTGGGTGCTTCTTCAGTGTGGTGAGATCCGAGTCACATGCCCAACAATTGCCCCCCATCAGGGGGTATTCCGCGAATGCCACCTATTTGATCTTCATGTGGCTGACTCAGATCTGCGCGATTCCGTCTGTTTCCGCGCTATTGACTGTGATTGGCGCGATCTGGGTGAGTCGGGGCCTGTTTGGTCTCCGCGTGATCTTCGCGTCCTCAATGGCGCGCGTATCTTGTGCATCGCTGGGCGTTGCCCCCATCGGTGGTAATCCGCGGGTGTTGTCCGTTTGATTTGCGTGCGCTCGACTCGGTTTTGCGCGATTCTCGTCTGATCGAGATCTCCGGGGTTGGTTGTGTGTGCGGTTTCGTGGGATTCTTCACTTGTTGTGCGCGTTACCTTTAAGTTGAGGATGACGTCGGTCGAAGTTGGTGTGTCATGCCCCCTGTTGTGCGCGTTACCTTGAGCTACGTGCGTAAGTCATGTTCTTCCGTTGGTGCGCGCTACTTTTAAGTTGGGGATGGGTTGTTTTTTCTTCCTCGTGGGTGTGTCATGCCCCCCAGGCGGTGCGCGGCACTTGTGGCATCATCGACTAATGTCTCTGATCGCAGGTGTCCACGTGTCCCTGCATGATTGGGCTATTTGGGCGGGGATTTCTTGAAATTCGAAAAAATTCGAAAAGATTTGGTAGGATCTGACGGTTACGGATCCCTATGTAGCTTTAACCCTTCGTTTTCCCTTGGCCGACTATAAATATGGGTTTGCTGTAGGAGAGTGGGACTCATCTGTTTCCTTCGACTCTGCTTCCAGTTCTTCGTTCCTCCCTTCTCCGAGATTCTTCTCCTTCTTCTCAACCTCGATTCTCCTTTTGCTGTTGCTGAAACTCGGGTTATTATCATGGCTAGCATCAACATCAACGAGGCTGAGGTCGTACAAGGCGAAGAAGGTAATCTCTCCCCTCTTTCGCACACTTCTACTGATCGTTCGATGGAATTAGACGACGGTTCCGGTGGTGGGAACAGCGGCGGTGGCGAAGGGGTTCCGGCGACGCCGTCGTTCGACATCGAGTCGGAGGATGATCTCGGCGGTTCTCCCGACGTGGGTATGGGTGCTTCCGGGAGCGGGCAGACGAGACAAGGAGCTCGTGGGGTGCTGATAATCCGGCGTGGTCGTGATGGGAGGCCAGTGATTGCTGACGATGAAGTGCGCGAAGACTCTGGCGCACAATCAGAGCCGCACCATGTTGTGTGCATG